CAGCTGCGGTCTTCACGCGGAAGACCCATTTGCCCGAGAGGATTCTTGCACCTTTGATTGCTGCGCGGTCAACGAGCACCCAGGTGTCGCGTGACTCCAGTGCCTTGATTTCCGCGTCCATTGCCTCACGCCATTCCTTGCTGTGTGGTCCAGAGAGGGCTTCGCGCGGGTTTCGGGGCTCGATGACGCGCGGCGCTTTCGAGGTTGCGGTGTGAAGTCCGAGCAGTTGTAGTCCTGAGACGGTACTGTCGTGGCGACGCTGCGGGATGACTTCCTGCACGTCATCATCGTCGCTCTCAGGTTCAGGTGGCGCTGATCGTGTTGCGCCTCCGCCGCTTCCGCCCGTTCCTCCTCCTGGGGAATCATCGTCGTTGTCGCTGCTGCGCCGATCTTCCCAAGTGAATTCGGCCCTGGTGTCCTGCTCCAGGAGTGCTGCAGCGGCTTCGTCTTCGGGCGTTGCGTAGCTGTGGCCGTTGTTCGCGTAAACGCGATCTGCATTCCTCTGTTCGTCGTCGCGGAACTGGTCGAGGAAGAGACGCTCGTAGAAAATTACGTCGCGAGCGTGGGCGGTTTTCTGACTGAGGAGGTCCAGCACGATCCATGCCTTGTACTCGTGACTGATGCCGAGGTGAATTCCCCAGCGCGCGCGACTGGCGAATTTGCCGATGGTTGATGTTGGCGGGCGGTACTGCACCATGCACCCCCACACGCGGAGCATGGAGGTATCCCCCTTGGTCCCGGTCCATTTGACGTGCGGGGAGAGATTCCCGGTGATCGCGGTGGTTGAAAGCAGGTTGTGCACCCGCACGGCGTGGTGCATCGCGTAAGTCCAGTAGATCGGCGGCAGCTTCGACTGCTTCATCAGCGCCCGCACCTTCGTCATCAGTGTGCGATTCGTTCGCTCCGCTACGCCTTGCTGCTGATGTGCGTAGGGGAGAGAAATGTGATGCTCGATCCCCTTTTGCGCCAGGTAAGTCTGCATCTGGTTGCTCCTGAACTCTGCCGCGCCGTCAGATTGCCAGATTTTGAGCTTCTTTCCAGATTGCCGCTCCGCATGCGCTAGCCAGAGCCGAAACACCTCGTAGGCTCTGTCGCGCGTCTCCACGTTCACGACCCATACATAGCGTGTTCCAGCGTCAATGAAGGTAAGAGTGTATAGCTCATCTTCGACTCCGTAGTGCCCTACATTCAGGAAATCGCTGTACACCTTGTGCAGTTTGGGGTAGCGGTTCGTCCCAGGTTCGAGCAGCGGGAACGGCTGGTGGCTTAGCGCGGCTTCGGGGCAGACTGTGCAATTGCGCGGATGCGTTGCGCCTCTCACTTCGGAGCCATCAGGGCGCAGGAGTGCGCCAGGGGCGAAGACGCCTGCGTCGATACAATTTTTCAGCGTTGCGCGAGAAGGGTGTCCGAGGCGCTGGTGCCAGAGTGCATCGTCAGCGCGAAAGCCGGAGGTGCGCATGTAGCGCGCGCGCGCTTCCTCAGGGTCTTCATCAGGTACGGGAGCAGGTTCTGCTGCTGCTTCTTCTTCTGCCGCAGTGGTCGACATCAGCGCCAGGAACTCTCTGTCGCGAATCTCAGAGAGTGGGATGTTGGTCCCAGGGATGGTTCCAGGGACGAAGGTTGGTTCGCGTGGTTTGGGAGCCGGTCCGTAAGCGGTGCGACGCGGGGTTGACGGCTCGTTGCCCCAGGCGATGGTGTCCCACGGGTCGCGGCGCGGTGGGTTATCAGGAGGAGGTAACGCGAGTGGGACATGGCGTGGGGGACGACCGAGGGGAACAACTGCAGACTCTCCAGCTTCTTCTTCTCCCCCCCTTTGGTCTTCGCGGGAAGTCCCCCAGCCTCTAGTAGGGGTGCCCCAGCTACTCGTGTCGGCGCCAGATGCGGCGCCCCATCCGCCGGTTGCGGTTGCCCAGGTTCCGCCTGTGTTGCCCCAGTCGCCAGCCTCAGTCGTTCCTTGTCCGCCGACGCTTCCCCACCCCCACCCCCCTTCATTGTTGGCGCTTTCTTCAGCTTTGGCGCCCCATGCGGCGCAAGCAAACGTTCCGCGTGCCTCGGTGAGGCTTTGTTGGCGAAGCTCCTCGGCTTCGCGGCGCGCCAGTTCTTCCTCCTGTTCCACGGTGAGTTTTGCCGTGGGGTCGCGCCAATGTGGGTAAATCTGCAGAAAATCCGCGCGGGTGTAGGGGCGTGGCGTGCCACGCGCATCGAAGGTACCGACACCAGTTCCACGAAGCATCCCTCGAAGATGTTGAGAAGGGGGACCTGTGAGGGGGTGCTCAGGCGTGCCGAACACGCCATGCGTGGTGACTTCGAGTTCGAGTTGCGACATCCCTTCCTCGGGGGGCGCGTTGCGCTCTGCTTCCGCGATGGCGGCGAGTCCGCGGCCTGCGATTGCGCTCGTCGAGGTCGTCAGCGTGTGACAGTCTCTGCAGATTCCATCTGGATCGGGGTTGTGAAGTTCCGTTTCGCGTGGGTGGGGATGATGCGGCACCCACGGCCTGCCGTCAGGGTGCTTCCAGTCCCTGCGGTGGATGTGTTCGAATCGCAGTGGCACGAGGTCAATCAGCTCGTGCGAGTCGCCGCTGCAGTCGGGAATATCGAAATCCAGGATGTACACTCCATTTTCGGAGTGTGCTCGTCCGATCTGCCTGCGGGGGAAGTTGCGCGCCTCGTAGTGTAGCAGGATATCTCTCGTCGCGGGGTCCGTGCTGAGGTCGACGCCGCAGTCCATGAGCTGTGCGGCGGACAGGAGGTTGAAGCGCAGGTTTTGGACGATTAACACATCATTAAGAGTGATGTGCGTGCGGCTTCCACGTGCTTTGAGCACGACGATGCCTTGCGCGCTTGCGCGCAGGCGCGTGTTGTTCGCCACAGTGACGTGAGTGACGGTAGGGGTGGGGACGGCGTTGGATATGTAACGCTCGGAGCCCACCATATGCTGGCCGCAGCAGCTGTCCAGGTACCAGGTGTTGTTGCGCTTGTTGTCGTCACGTGCGAGCAGCGCTAGTCGCGGCGTGACGATGTGCGGGGTATCGAACTTCAGAAATTGCTCGCGCGAGAGCCAGTCAAGTGGCGCCACCCGCATGTCGGGTACGTGCGGGGGACTTTCAAGCAGCGGGACTGGGAGATTCCAGTCCTGGTCGTCGTCGTCGGTGAAGTCATGGCGCGGACTGAATGGGTTGTTGTTGGAGAACGCGCCAATGGGGTGCGGTGCTGGCTCAGGTGATGGTGAGCGCACGCGGCGACGACGGGACTCGCCTGTCATGGCCATGTTGCTCATGACATTGCGCACTGGTGCAGTCGATGGCGGCTGCTGCTGCTGATGCTGAACCGCGGGGTTCAGGTTGCGCGTGGGAGGGGGCTGATAGCCCTGGGCTGGACGCACGTCGCCTCGTACGTCTTGTCGGCCGGACCAGTTGCTCGGATTGGTCTGGCGAGGGCGAGATCGGGATTTGCATCGATCTGCCAGATGCCCGAAGTTCCTGCAGATTTTGCAGTAGAGGCGCCTCGGACGTCGCTCTTCGTTGTTGTCGGCGTAGAAGGGCGGCGCAAAGGGCGGCCTCCGAGATGACCCCCTGCTGTCGGAGAAGCGCCTTGCAGGGCCGCCACTCTGGGCCGAGCCCTTGAAGCACGATGTTAACGAAGATTTCTTCAGATATCGTGCTTCCCAACTTCACGATTTGATCGCGAAGGCTCCGACAGCGGTTAAGGTAAGTGTTGACCTTCTCCCCTGAGGTCATTTTGGTCTCCAGGAGTTCCTGGAGCAGTCGGCTCGAGGAGACAGAGTCCTTGGGCTGATACACTCCTGTCAGATGTCGCCAGGCGTTGAGGGCTGGAGCAGCTGTCGTTTTGTACGAACGAATGTTGAGCTGCTCCGCCGGGGACATGTTCCGCAGGAGCACCCCGTACGCCATCAGTGATTCGTTGTAATACCTCGCCTTGGCGTCGTCGGTGTCCTCGGCAGGCTCGGCGTAGCTCCCGTCGAAGTAGTGGAAGATTTGGGCGTTCTGCAGCAGGAGCTCCAATTCGAAGCTCCAGGTATAGAAGTCTTTGCCGTCAAAGCTGGAACTTGTCTTTATTTTTGATATGCTCAGAAACTTTGATTGAGCGGAGAGAATTGCTTCTTCACTGGGACGGGGAGCCTTGGGGGTTGAGCCATTTGTGTCGAGGGAGAAGGTTTGCGGGACGGTGTTCTGCCCAGTTGGGCCCGGTTGGGTTGGTTGCGAGGATGTTCCCGCATCGCCGTTCCGCAATGTTTGGAGTCCTTGCTCCAGACTGGTGAGTCGCTGAAGAAGTTGTGCGAGGACTTCGGTGCCGATCGAAGTCGTTTCCTCGCTTGTCGCAGCCGGGTTGGTGCGCGCTTCAGCCGTCAGATTAGTCTGACCACCAGATCCTCCGGCCATTTTCACACGCGAGCGTGTGCCGGTCGCCACTTTCCGAATGTCGCAATTTTCGGGAGTGGTGTTGCGAAGGATTCCCGAGTCGCTCTCATACCATGCTACGATCAGAGAATGATCGCTAACCAGGATCTACTCGGGAAGGTTCGCACACTGGGAGATGTAGTTGGTGGGCCCGTGACCTCAATAGCAGAGTGAATGTAAAATGCTTGAGATGATTAAAACATGCAAATACAGCAAGTATAAATATGAGTACAGGGAAGACGAAACGACCTAGCTAGCCATGTACTCTAAGGGGTGTTAGAATCTAGCAGCAGGAATGATGAACTAACAGCATGCAGGAGTACAAGTAGGAAACCCTAATTTGGTTGTACCCCATGTGGGCTACCCCACTACAGCCTAGACAATATGCAGCATACATGTTTGACACACCCCCATAGGCAACGTGGGGGAGAACAAGGGGTCACACGACCAGTCAAGAGACGCAAAGCAAGCTCAGGGTGGATCTCAACGTCACCACACATTCTGAGCACAAGCAAAGGGCCGCAAGGCCAGTCCACATGCAGAGATATATATAAGCAACAAGAGCAGTACAGTGATCAATACCTAGCAAGAGCAAGCATGCAGGTATAAATATAGAACACAGTACAGCAAGTGTGGAAACGTAGGCACAAGGCCTAACAAAGTACAAAAGCGCTGATGATCACCAGACGGAAGTGCCTTGGTGAATATATCAGCAGTGTTGGCCCTAGTGGCCACGTGTGCAAGACGAAGCTGACCACGCTGCTGCAGCTCTCGAGCCAGAAAGTACCGCAGAGCGATGTGCTTCGTTCTGTGCTCCAGTCTGTGCTCCTCACACAAGGCAATAGCAGCCTTGTTGTCGACGTACAGCACTGGAGGAGAACGAGGCCGCTCTCCCAGGTCGGTCAGCAGGTAGGTGAGCCAGCGTAACTCCTGAGCAGCCATGGCGGTGGCGTAGATCTCAGCCTCACAACTGGAGCTGAGAACAGAAGACGAGCGAGTAGAACGCCAAGAAACAGAACCAGAGCCAAGGCTGAAAGTGTAACCCTGTGACGACCGCTGCGTAGCCTGGTCGTCAACCCAAGAAGCGTCTGAGTGCCCAGTGAGGACCACCTCTCGCCGTCCTCCAAGCACGAGCCCCATGCCCGATGTACTGCACAAGTAGCGCAGTACCCTCTTCGCAGCATCCCAGTGCACCTTTCGGTGCCGACCAGGAGCCACGTAGCGAGCCAGAAGGCCAAGAGGGTACGCAAGGTCAGGACGAGTGCAAGTCATCAGGTACATGAGGCAGCCCACTAGCTTTGGGTAAGGACCACTCGGCTCTACGGACTCATCCGAAGGCAGAGCTGAGAGCGAGTGACCTATAGCCAGAGGAGTGGCCTGTGCTGAGGACCAGGTGAAGCCGAAGCGCTGAAGGACCTGCTGCACCATGTGTGACTGAGTCAGTGTGATGGTGCGGCGTGCTCGGTCCCGGGTGATCTGCAAGCCAAGGTAGCTGCGCAGCTCACCCAGGTCTGTGCACGTGTGTCTCTTCTGCAGCTCCGACTTCACCAGGGCGAGGGCCTCAGTGTCAGCAGTAGCAAAGACCAAGTCGTCGACGTACACGAGGATATAGAACGGCGGCAGCAAAGTGTCGGTGCGTAGAAACAGTGAAGGGTCAGCAGTCGAAGGCGCAAACCCAAGAGCCGCAAGGGTAGTCCTCAGTGTGTCGTGCCACTCACGGGGTGCCTGGCGGAGACCGTAGACTGGCCGGCGGAGGCTCCACTGGGTACCAGGATGGAACGTCCCAGTGAAGCCAGGTGGGCGGCGCAGCCAGATCTCCTCGTGCAGGCTGCCCTGTAGGAAAGCTGTGCTGAAGTCAAGGGAGTGAAGCTCGTAGTCACGCTGTGCGGCAACGTGCAGCAGCACCCGAAGAGTAGTCATCTTCGGGGTAGGAGAGAAGGTCTGGAAGAAGTCAACTCCCTCTCGCTGACTGAAGCCTCGAGCAACGTAACGCGCCTTGAAGACAGGCGGAGAACCTGGCGGCCGCTTCACCCTGAAAATCCACATGCCATCGACGATGTTCGCCCCGGGAGGGGGAACCTCATCGACGTAAGTGCCTGTGGACTTCCAGGATGCCACTGAGAGGAGTAGGGACCCGCGATCGCCTCAGCGTAAGAGCGCGGTGTGGGGATGTCTATAGCATCCGGGTCTCCCTCAGGGGCAAGCAGCATGGCCACGAGATGAGGCGCAGCGGCTGCAAGACACTCAAGGTCCTCGTGCCTGTCCTCAAGGACGTCCGTGCCAAGGGCACACTCACCCCCGACGGACGGAGGACAGACAGACTCAGACTCAGCAACAAGACTAGCAGCGTAGTCTAGACGACAGGCAGCAGCAAAGTCAACAAGCTCAGCGACTAAGGCAGACGCAGCAGCAGACTCAAACGACGGGTCAGTGATAACAGTGGCTAGCAGACGCGTGACAGTAGGGTGCTCAGCACGAAACCGGTCAGACTCAGGGTCCGCGACGTCAGGCAAAAAGGACGGAGGGGGAGACGGAAGAGGAGTACGCTCCGGAGTAGGGGACCGACGCAGGGCTACAAGGCGTGTGCCGGGGACAGCCGGCTGACGCGGACGAGGAACACGACGACCGGTACGACTAGGACGAACAGGCGAGACTGGACGCGACGCAGGCTCACGACGCTCAGCAAGACTACCTGTCTGCTCAGTGTAAGGAGAAGGAGCAGGCAGCGGTGAGCCAGGCTGTAACGGAAGACCAGTAGACGACGGGAGAGTAAGAACCTGACGAAGAACAGAGTCAGGCGGCGGCAGAGACGACGGAGACGGCGGAGCGAAGAACAGTCGTGGCGGCGCAGCTGCACCAGTACCGGCAGCTCCAGCAGCTCCAGTACCTCCAGCAGCTCCAGCACCTCCAGCAGCTCCAGAAGCTCCAGCAGCAGAACCGACACCTCCAGGCCCAGGGTCTCCAACCCCAGTGCCTCCAGCAGCAGCACCCCCAGAACCAGCACCTCCAGTCCCAGGGTCTCCAGCCTCAATGTCTCCAGCAGCAGCACCCCCAGAACCAGCACCTCCAGTCCCAGGGTCTCCAGCCTCGGTGTCTCCAGCAGCAGCACCTCCAGACGCAGCACCCCCAGCCCCAGCAGCTCCAGTACCTCCAGTACGAGCACTCCCGGGACCAGCGACTCCAGCACCTCCAGTAGACAAAGTACCAGCACCACTCCTAGCTCCAGGGACGTCAGCAGAAGTACCTCCAGCAGTAGAGCCCCGGGCTCCAGCAGCGCGACCCTGACGGCGACCGTACCAGTCGTGCAGCTGCTGTGAGGTGAGAGGCACACGTGGACGAAGGCGGCTACTCCAAGGAGACCGCGCAACAGCAGACTCAGATCCCACAGCGCCAGCACCCTCAGCAGCTCCAGAACCTCCAGCGCTCGCACCCTCAGCAGCCCCAGAACCACCAGCTCCAGCACCTCCAGGACCAGCGCCTCCAGCAGCTCCAGAACCTCCAGCGCCCGCACCCTCAGCAGCCCCAGAACCACTAGCTCCAGCACCTCCAGACCCCTCACACGCAGGCTCAGCACCTCCAGGCTCCACACTCTCAAGCTCCGCACCCCCAGGCTCAGCACCCCCAGAAGTAGCACCCCGAGCAGGACCACCCCCAGTAGGACCTGAGTCACCAGTGACCTCGACCGGCGCAGGGAAGGGAGGAGGGTCTACCTGAGACACACCTGAAGGAGCAGGACCGGGAGCGGGGAGGGGGTCTACCTGGGGAGCACCCGGAGCGAGGAAGAGCGGCGGGGGAGGGAGAGGGGCAGTGCGGTAGGGGAAGAGACGGTAAAAGGGAACCGACTCATCGAACGTGACGTCCTGAGACGCAAAGACACGGCGCGAGGTGGGGTGGTAAAACTGCCAACCAGGCGCGTCAGGGACAAAGCCCAGGAAGACACAGGGAACTGCACGGGCGGAGAGCTTGTCCGCAGTGGTATCGCGGACAAAGGCACGAGCACCCCAGACCCGGAAACGCGACGCATCGCCAACCTTCCCCGTCCACAGCAGCGTGGGCGAGGTCTCCGGCAAGGAGACACGGGGCCAGAGGTTGAGCTGATGCGTGGCGTACCGGACCGCAAACGGCCACAGAAAATGGGGGGCAGCCGCATGGATCATGGAGGTACGAGCGACCTCCATGACTAAGCCAATGCGGCGCTCAGCAACCCCATTCTGCTGCGGAGAGTCCGGAAGCGTGAACGACTGGGTGATGCCGTGCTCCGCACAGAAGGCTGCCAAGAGGTCTGAGGAGAACTCACCACCTCTGTCAGAGTGCAGACGCAGGACGGGAAACTCCGTCCCAAACCGCTCGCGGAGCTGGAGACGGGCAGCGCGGATCCAAGGGATCAAAACAGCAGGGACCTCCCCCTTGCTGCGCAGGGGAAAGACCGTGGTGTAACGCGTGTAGTCGTCAACAACCAGCAGGAAGTACCGCTCGTGGCCCTGTCCACGGACGCGGGCGGGGCCCCACACGTCCAGGTGGAGAGTCTGCAGGGGAGCCTCTGTGGGAGGGAACGAGGAGGAGTGAGGAGCGGCGCGCTGCCGCCCCTTGACGCAAGGAATGCAGGGCGGCGCAAGCGAGGGAGGCAGGGCAGGCAAAGACCTGGGAAGACCAGAAACCAGGAAGCGAGAGTGCATGCCACGAAGGCGCTGCACCGAGGGGTGACCAAGGCGGTGGTGCCACAGGAGGGTCTGGTGCGACAAAGCGCGACACTCGCAGGGGGCCGTCGGCTGACCTGACGCAGACGCAGACGCAGCTACCTGAGGGGACTCAGTGGTCAGGGTGTACAGACTCGAGCCAGGCGCACGGGAAAACGTGGCCAGGTGTCGGCCGGTCCGAGCACACGTACAGTGAGTCACTCGCTGACTCGCAGGAGTGAACTGGTGCACCCCCCTATCCTGGAGGTCAGCTCCACTCACCAAGTTCGTAGAGAACGAGGGGAGGTAAAGACCTGACAGCAAGCCAGACGGGGCGGCCGGACACGGTAGAACCGTGGAGTAGTGGGCAAGGACCGGACCCCCGGAGGGGTCCGCCAGGGAGACTGGAACCGGCCGACTAAGCGGCGTGAGTGTGGTACAGTCGCGAAAGAAGGAGCGGGAAGCACCTGAGTCAAGCGTGAAGGTGTACAAGGCCGCAGCAGGCGCAGACCCAGAGAGAGCAGACTCACCAGCACCTGGAGCAGGAGACGTACCGGCACCTAGAGCAGCAGCCTCACCAGTACCCAGAGGAGGAGACGCACGAGCACCTAGGGCAGCAGCCTCACCAGTACCGGGAGCAGCAGGCGCTATACCAGGGTCAGGCGGGACGCACAGGGAACAGGCACGGTCAACACTAGTAGGCAATGCATACATGGCAGTGAGAATAGCATCATAGTCAGGAGCAAAGATATCTACCCTCCGTCCAAGCAGCTCCAGCCAGTCGGGGAGCTCAGCCTCGTCGCCAAACACTGTACGCCAGTCGTCGCTCAGACGGGCGAAGCAGCGGGACTGTGTGTGACCAAGCGTCCCGCAAGGCTGACCAACCCGATCACCTGTGCGAATGACGTACTGGCAGCGAACTGTACGCGTAGACCTGCTACACTGAGCGTACCACTCGTGGAGCTGCCGGGACGTAAGTGTCTCGCGTGGCCAGACGCTCCCAACTGACCAGCTCCAGGGGGACAGCTACGACTGCTACCGCGACAACCCCAGCTAGTATACCACTCACTAAGCTGCTGGGGCGTGAGAGACTCACGTGAACGTCGCTGGGGCTGCATCTGGCCACCGGCCAGTAGCAGTAGCAGCAGCAGTAGCGCGGGCAGGGCAGGCGCGGCAGGCCGACAGGCAGGCAGGCCGGCAGGCAGGCAGACAGGCAGGCAGGCAGGCAGGCAAACGATTTAGTACAGATGTAAAACAAAAATACAGATGTACATTTAGTACTAATCGTTTTACGCTATAAAAAAAATACACATTATGTAAAGACCCGGGTGCAATGAAGCTTTTTCCGATGACAAGACCCCCCCTTTTTTTTGTGTAGTTATCATAGCACCCTAGGGTGGTATATCCGGGGGAATACGGTAGAAGATTTTTCATCGAAGATTTTACAAGGGAAGCACTTGCATGTAAATCATATATGTATGTATACATATTCTGAAAGAATGTGGGTAGGTTGGTTGAAATTTCTCTAACAGAAAAAGGTCATGAACCTCCCCATTTTGTGCCCACTCATTTTATTAATTTTCATGTTTCAGCTCTTTGTGTTCTGGCAGTCTTATGTTTCCGTAATAATTCCGAGTTGTTTGTTACATGCTGCTTGTGCTGTATCTCGATCAGACTGTGTTGGTTTGACGGATTGTTGTGCTTCCAGCGGTGTGGGGTGCTAGCGATTTCCGTCAAACCCAAGGCAGTAGGTGGTGACCTGGCGAGTTTGCCAGGTTCGGACCTGCTGCCCAGTCTTGTGATTTGCTTCGGGCCTATTTCGTAGGGTCGCGACTCACGAGGCCCCAAGTTGGCACTGTTTCTGCTAACCCGGGGCCCCAGTCTGATCAATTCCCATTTTCAGCCCCGACCATATCCTGAATCCAACAATGTTCACGGTTCCCGAAGGCGACACCGCCGCCGAAGTCAGCTCGGCATCACCAAGGAACCGAACTCACCTTCACGACGCCTCATTCAGCAGCTTCTGTATGGTAAGTTTCCTTCACAACCAATTCGACGATGTTCAGAAGGTAAGCATTTGCTTCAACTAACTTCACAACGTAAGCATTTGCTTCAACTAACTTGACAAGGTAAGCACTCGACAAGGGATGCTTCTTTCTGCTTCCACAAAGACAACCTGGAGTCAGCCAACGGCATCCAGCATGGCATCGTCGTGAGTGTCGCAAGTCGCAGCGTCGCAAGCGTCGCAGCGTCGCAGAGTCGCGTTGTGGGTGGGGTGGTTGGGTAAGGGTGACTTTCGACAACCTTCGACGACCTTCGACGACCTTTGACGACCTTCTACGACCTTCAACGACCAGAGAAACCGGACGAATTGACGGTAACGCTGCAAGGTAAATCTTTTTTGTGCATTCGTTTCATTTTCTGTCTTGCGCATTCGTTCCTTGTCATTTCTTGTGCGTTTAACCCTGATCGTTTTGCAGGCCGCGGACGTCGAAGACACTGGTTAGGCTCGAACAGTGGAGCGCGAACGGATCGTTAGAACACTGAACCGAGACAGCACAGTAGGCTCGAAACGGTGCGCGACGACGGTTCCGTAGGCTCGAAATGGTGCGCGACAGACTCGTTAGTAAACTGCGGCTCTAAAGGCTCCTTACAGACGATATATGGAGACTCGGCAAGGTGGTAAGGAGGAGGTAAAGGCAGTCGTGTTTTCTGTTTTGGCGTTTATTCGTTTTCTTTTCTACTCTTACTAACTGCTTCTGGTTTCTTCTTCTTTTATGTAGCAAGCAGAGCGGCGGAGCTCGCTTGCTTTGTTATTTTCGCCTTTTTTTCCCCTCTGTACTAACCATCGCCGCTTTCTCCAAGTTGCAGGTAAAGGAAGGCGCGGACGCTGCCATCACCTTTCCCCCTTTTCTCTCCTCTATTCTTCCTCTCTCCCTTTCAGGACTGGAGCATGGAGCTCAAGGCATTCTGTAAGTAGTTTCCATTTCCTGATCCGCTTTTACTTCTTTTCCGTTTTCTATGTAAGTTGTTTCGTTCGCTTTATTGCTTTTGCTTTTATTCTCTATACTAACCATCGCCGCTTCCTCTAAGTTGCAGGTAAAGCAAGGCGCGGCGCGGCCATCACCATTCCCCCCCTTTTTTTTCCTCTCTTCTTGCACTGTCCCTTTCTGGACTGTGGAACTTGGAGCTCAAGGGATTCTGTAAGTTCCATTACCTGATCCGCTTTTACTTGTTTTCCGTTATTTTTGTTTGTTGTTTCGTTCGCTTTAGTGTTCTCGCTTTTATTCTCTATACTAACCATCGCCGCTTCCTCTAAGATGCAGGTAAAGCAAGGCGCGGCGCGGCCAACACCTCTCCCCCTCTGTTTCTCCTCTCTTCTTCCTCTGTCCCTTTCAGGACTGGAGCTTAAAGTTCAAGGGAGTTTTGTAAGTCTCCTTTTCCTGATCCGTACTTACTTGGTTTCCATTTTTTGTGTAAGTTGTTTCGTTCGCTTTATTCTTTTCGTTTTTGTTCTCTATACTAACCATCGCCGTTTACTCTAAGTTGCAGGTTCACAAGGCGCGGACGCGGCCATCACCTTCCTCCCTCTGTTGCTCCTCTCTTCTTCCTCTGTCCCTTTCAGGAATGGAGCTTAAAGCTCACGGGAGAATTGTAAGACTCCTTTTCCTGATCCGCCTTTACTTGCTTTCCGCTTTTTTTGTGTGTTGTTTCGCTCGCTTTATTGTTTTAGCTTTAATTCTCAATACTAACCATCGCCGTTTCCTCCAAGTGGCAGGTTCATAAGGCGCGGACGCGGCTTATCACCTTCCTCCTTTTTTCTCCTCTCTTCTTCCTCTGTCCCTTTCAGGACTGGAGCTCAAGAGTGTTTGTAAGTTTCGCTTTACTGCTCCGCGTTCACTCGATTGTCGCTTGTTTATGCAAGTTGTTTCGTTCGCTTTACTGTTTTCAACTTTTTTTATTGTAAACTAACTACTCTCGTTTCTCGAAGGTGCAGGCCAGCAAGGGAGGCACGATGTCGCGGACGCCATCATCGCTTGTGTCGCGGAGTCGCGGACGTCACCACTTGACACATTTTTCCCTCCTCTCTTCTTCCAGTTTCCCGTGTCAGGTTGATAGACAACGAGCACGAGGATCATCTCCAACTCGCCAGCGACGCCAGAGCAGACAGACTCGTTACAGACAGACTCGCGTAGAACCGACTGACGACGGAACAGATTCGATAGGCTCGAAAAGCCCGGTACGGTATGCCGCGGTTGGGTGGGTTCGATGGGGTGGGTCCGATGGGGTGGGTGCGATGGGGTGGGTCCGATGGGTTGGGTTGGGTTGGGTCCGATGGGGTGGGTGAATGAGCTGCGAGATGAGCTTGGTAATGTGTGCCAGGTAATGTGCAGGTCATCTGACATCAGCGCGACTCGAGGATTCCCTCCTGACATCTGACAGCCAGTGACCTGTGGTGGTTTTCTGCCCGTGGCAGTACA